CCCAGCTGCCCCCGACCTGGGAGGTTTTCGATCAGCACAGGGACTGCTGGACAATGTCTGCAATGGAGGACAACGCGTCTACTAGGAGTTTAGACTATGGCTCACATGAGCTCAGTAGGGGCTGGAGCTATAGAAATACATTCTCACACACACTTCAGCGGAAAAGAAATGAGTAGGGAAAAGGTTGACAAATTACTTTCTGGTACAGCAACCTTCCTTTTTCCTGCTGTCGTAATTGGCTTAAGGCAGGGTCCCGCAAGAGACATTTTTTGGCGACGTCGCACTTCGCGCAGCGTCCCCATGGCGCGCACCTGTCTGCATGATAAACTGCAGGAGAGGGGGGGGGGGGCATGATGCCCTTCTTCAAGAGTCTTATGATGACACCGTGCATGCTGATTGCACAAGGTTGTCTAAGCTTACAAATGTAAACTCAGAGATGTGGTTTGCTGCCTAAGGAAGCTCCCTACTGAGCAGAATCAACAGTCCTAGGTTTGCTGTCTTCCATAACTGAAACAGGCACGGCCTCGGATTGATCCAGCAAGGAAAACACCTCGTGGGAAAGTGTGGCCACCTGCCAGGGTTTAGGGTTTAGGGTTTAGGGTCTAGGATTTAAGGTTTTGTTTGGATCTAGGGTTTAGGGTTTAGTTTGGGTCAAGGGTTTGGGGTTTAGGGTCTAGGGTTTAGGGTTTAAGGTTTAGGGTTGCTGGACAGTAAGTGCGGTTGTATAAGGATTCTATAGGGGGTATATAGGGTTTAGGGTTTTAGGGTTTAGGGTTATATAGGTCAATACAGGGGCTATATAAGGGAAATATAATCTCTAAGGTAGGTTCGGTTATATGGGCGTAAACCAAGGAGTCGAGAAGAACATGGAAGGCTACTTTCTTTAGGGTTGGAGGTTTAGGGTTTAGGGCGAAAGTTGAAACCATGGGCCCTAGTATGGGCCCTTAGAATCCCCTAACTAGCCTCTGGTTCCATATTAGGGGCCCATATTTCGAAGCTTAGATAATCTTCAGGACGCGCGGCCTATTGGGGTCTTGCTGGCAGGACTGGTAGTTTCAAGTCTCGGGCCCTAAGCCTATGGATGCCAGCCCAGTGCCAATGCTGATTAAGCACGTGGCACCGTGGCACGACCCAACCAATTTTGTAGGCATGTGCTCTTCCACATGAACACTTCAAATATCTTCCTGACAAAATGTTGGTTCCCCAACCTGCACCTGCCACATTCAGGCTCTCCTGTAATACATAAACCATTATAACTATTATTGTTAGTTATTACAATTATATTACTGTAGGAACTGCTAAGCTTAATGCCAAGCAAAATCCCGAGCCCTCCTGGCCTCACATGCAGAGGTGGCCGCAGCCAATGTAAGCACCTGAGAATGACCACTAGCACGAGAACAAACATGTGACAAATGACATTTGATAGGCGACACTCATTGCGACCAGCATCTACATGGACAACTTTGCTTTGCAACATTTTTCCACAGGGTCCCCTGACAGGGCCAAGCAACTTCGTATGGCATCGTTCCGGAATCTGTGGCAGCTGCTTGGAATGCAACGGGAATTATTCGAGCGTTTGCATCGCAGGCGGTTCGAATCTCTGCAATCGCAGTGACAGATGAGAAGGCATCCGAGTCCAGAAGCCTGAGACAATTAATTACACATTCGAGAATGCGAAGTCAAGGTTCTGACAGCAGGCAAACATTCGTTCCAGTTTTGGCCCTAAACCTTGAGGTTTAGGTTCCTCTCGCACTTAAGACCCTGAAGGTCCAAGTACTCAGTAAATCCTACACCTCTCCAAAACCTGTACTACGATTACAAGTACCAGAATCCCATGCCATGCATCTAACTATTGGGTACTTGGATCCTTCGGGAGAGAGCCCTCACAAAATCGAGTCAACCTCAGTCCTAGCCTCTCAGACTTAAAAAAGCTTCGATGGCAATAATTCGCCCTTTTGCTTTCTTCTGGACCGTGAAAGATGCCAGAAATGTTTGCGGACCGTCGGGAATTCGTGGAGTTCTACACCTAGAGATTAGACCTGGATGCGGATTGGACATGCCCATCCACGGAACCCAAGTATACAAATAATACAAAATCATGCCTACACTGGGCCCTAAACTCTAATCGCCCCAAAGTCTATACATACTGCCTACATTGGGCTATTTGAGTTATAACCTAAAATATCTAAATCCCTAGCATCCCGCTCAATGACCCCTATAATAATCCCCTTTGAGGAGTTTAGACCCTAAACCCTAACCCCTAAACCCTATATAACCCCCTTTAAGGAAGTTAGATTATAGCTCATTTGGATAGGGGGGCCTGGTCGTCGAGCTGACCTGCCGAGATTCTAGTGGCTCACTTTAACCCGAAAAGGTCCAATTGGGTCCCTTTGAAGGGGTTATAGGGGGATATGTAGGGATATATGGGGACTATGTAAGGGTATATAGGACCCCAAATGATAGGGCTTTAGGGCCCAAATACTACAATATTTATGGTATTTGGGCCCTAAAGGCCTGTGATTTGGGTCCTTGGACCCTTAGGGTAGCTGCAGGCTTGAACAACAAAAAAGTTCCAGCAAGTTCATAATCAGGAGGACCCTGGTTTGAAGGTTACAAGCTCCCCCACACGGGTAAATTTCAAAATAAGTCTTCCGGCATCGCTGCAATTCCTTGCTCTTGTCTTCTTGTGACCGCCTTTCCCACTGAAATAAATGAAGCAAGAAAAACAAGCCAGCTGGACTTGCAGATCATGGCACGTCAATGTCGGCTGCATGGCGCTTCAAACTGTCGAAAAACCTGGGATGTGTGGGATTCTCAAAGCTGGAGAGCACGCAGGGGCCCTAGGGTCATGTGGCTTTTTCCATATCTGATTACTTTGGGAAACTCCCATATACAGGGAAAATAAGGGCATATGCACAGCTTGCAACACACTGCTTCCAAGGATATTCTGACATCGTGTTCGGGTGCGCCGTGGCTTGCATATTTTCCGGGACTGCTCATGCGTGTGTTGGACGTTCGGGTGGGAAGATTTAGCTTTTGTTTTGCAGCTCTTTGATGACTGGGCTGCTGGTTGCAAGATGGGAAGTCTCGCCGACACAAATGTAGTCTAGGTTACAAGCTTGATGTGCCGGCAAAATGGACGTCCAAAACGTTGGGAACTGTTGGAGTTTGATTTGAGTGCTGGGGCATTGAGAAGCAGAAAGCCCCTTGCGGTGCCCACGGCCCACTCAGCCTCAATGACCATGTTATTCGCGGGTCCAGATAAGCCCTAAACCCCATACGACCCCTGTATCCTCTCTAACGGCACCTCAAAAACTTGGCTTTTCAAGGCCGTAATGGGAAGCTCGCACACCCTTCGGCTGGCTGAGGCTCTGGTCTTTCGCATAAGGTGGGTTTGGCTTTGAGCTTGTAGGGTTTAGGGTTACATGTATATTCACAGGCGCCTCGGCGGTTTCATATGAGATCCTGGGAATGGTTCCTCATATGCTTCCCGAAGAGCAACCGCGTAAGAGTAAGGGTTGGGGACAAATCCGCATGCGCTTTGGTGAAGGGTTTGCTTACAAAAAAACATGAGATTGTTAGCGCAGTAAAGCCAGGCGCCTATTGATGTCCCTTTTGCATGGCCGCCTCTCGGACCTGGATCTTCTGGCCATCCTGCCTACAGCAGCACCAGTCCAACCCTGGACATATTCCATCAGCGCCTTTGGCGTCAGGGTCTTGTGAAGCTGCACTAGCTTGTCATGATCTCTCTTGGCAGCCTGTGGACATTTCCTGCTGGGGCCCCTAAACGTGCATCGGGCGCTTCGGCTCTGCATGTCGGCCCGGAAACCAGCTCCGGTTCGCTTGACCCCTCGAGGAAGGGCTATGGCCGGCACACCCCAGATGATATCGCCCGCATCAGTTTTGCCGAGTCGCTCGCAATACCTTCTTACCCGTACACGCTGAATGCATCGCTCCAAGTTTGAAGGGTTAGCCCCTTCAATAAGATCTGGATTCCGGCGCAAGTGGTCCTGGACTTGCTTGTGCGTTCCACCGCCCAGCGTAGTCACAGCCTGCATGACAGCCTTCTTCATGCTTTTGAACGGCACCAACCGTGAAACATTATGTGGCACCCGGCTCCTCTGCTTGACGTCACCTGCTCCTTCGCCAGTAAACGACTGGTGCAGCAAACTCTGGACCGCTTTCTGGATATCAAGCCAATCTGTACCCGCAGCTGCCGCACCGAGATCACCTACGACAGGGTGTTTCTTGTGGACTGGTGCACTGGTCGCTCCGTGGTTTTTACTGACAAGGACCCCCCAGAAGAACACTTGTCCTCTTCCCGCCTTTGAATGTTAACAGCTGCCGCTGGATGTACTGGAGTGCCACTCGAATTCTGCCACAGTCAAAGCCCCTAGCGTTCCAGGAGTTCAAAAGCTCTAGCCTCGCCGGTGCTCTGCAACATATTCGGAGGCTATCCAAAAATGAGGGGTCCCCTTATAGGAATAGAATGCCGGGGTCTATGTTGGGGCCCCTTATTTCTGGAAACTTCTGTTTTGTACTTTTGAAATGCAAAAGCTGCATGGATGAGCTACCAGGTAGCAACAGGGACCTGACGCGGCGTTGGAACTTGTTGACCACGTCGGTTGCAGTCACACCCTTGTTGTCTGCATCAGTTGCAGACCCCCCAACTCCGTCAATGCATTCCGTGGATGTTCCTGTGATGCACCAGGAACCAGTGAATGATAACAAGAGACTCGAAACTAATGCTTATTTCTTTGGTTGGACTGTCTTTCTATGAAACACGGTTGAGATAGGCTCCTGAGTCTGAAAGTCCTGGAGGGATCGAAATTTGTGGTGCTACCAAATTTGCAAGGGCATTTGGGCTTAACTCTTTTTGGACAGATGTCAGGGGTGCGAAGCGCAAAGGGAATGGGGTTCTGGTTCGGGGCCGGCTACCAATCTCAAAATAACAGCACACACGCGCATCAAAATTCCCTGCCCTAAATGGCCCAGTGTTCGCGGAGGAGACAAGGCAGCAGCGGCGGCAAAAACAACATCAGCGAGTTCCGCCTCACTGCCTCCCGCTTTACCTGCAAGTCTCTGAAAATACGGGACCTCTACAAAACAGGCTGTCTAAGGTCCTGTACCCGGGCTGTACGTCGAGCATTTGGGGATCAGGCTTCGGACCCCAAGGACATGTGGGGGTCATCCGGGATCTGGGATGGGGGTCCCTCATGGGAATTATGTAACCCTAAGGGTCCGAGTACACAATAAGTAGGTCCCCTTTAAAGGGATCTATAGGGATATATAGGGACATATTGGGATATATAGGGTTTAGGGTTTATGGGCTTATATTGAGGATCTAGGATTTAGGGTCCAAGTACCCAATAATCAGGTACTTGGGATTTTGGTAATAGCATTTTTAGTACAGGTTTGGGGTAAGTATATGATTATTGGGTACTTGGACCCTCAGGGTAAGCTGGTTTCTTACAATGACCCTAGCAGAACCGCGTATATTTGTATAAATGCAGATAAATACAAACACATCTATGTAACTCCCTACTAAGGACTATTCTCTAGCTCCGAAACTCAAACAGGAGCTGCAAAACAGTCACAGTGCTAGAGTTGTAGAAGAGTACCACGGAGCATTCCTTCGCTCACCGTACGATAGGCATACTACTGCTGGACAAATCAACAATGTCACGAGTTCAGTTGTGGTTCTGAAAAAGAAGTCTTTCAAGAACAGGCACTTGCAAGTTGGAGTTGTTTGAGACATGCCAGCTTCTCACCGTTGACCATGTTGATCCACTCATTTATCCTCCTGAACAGATGCGATGGCACTTCTTTACCACATGGTTCCGCAACCTCTGTCAGCTCGGCAAACTCTGCGTCAGGGACGGGAACGGAAGACTCGCCGGCTTCCACGTCAGAGGGCCCGTCATGACCCAACTCGTTGTAGCCAGAAACATCTACTGCGCCTTCTTCATCTTCGGAAGAGTCCACCTCAACTATAGCTGTGTCCATGCAACCAGCTTCAGCATCGCGAGCATCACCAGATTCTTCTTCGTTCTTGCTCGGCAGCATATCAGTGTCTTCCGCGCTCTCCCTATCCTCCTGCTCCGCGACGTCCTCTTCCTCCTTTGCCTCCTCGGCCTCTGTCCCCTCTGCTCCAGAGCCCAGGTGCTCCTCAGCCACCGAGTTCCGACAGCACTGGAAGCGCTGGAGGCTTTGCCTCAGCCTTTGCCGCGCCTCATCCAGGGTCCGATCCGCAAGATCCATGCTATCAAGCGCGGCTAGCGCCTTTGGCAAAGCTTTTTGAAGACGCTTTGGCAACTGCCCGCCGCCCAGCTTCGACACAAATTTGTGAAGAAGGTCCATCTCTATCGATCCAGGGATGTAGTCGGCCGGAGCACAAGAAAACCATGAAGCAATGTGAAATGCATATCTCCGCGCTTGCCTCTTGCTGCACACGCGGGCCTTCCTCGCAAACCTCTGCAACACACCGCTCTTATCAGCCCTGCGGTGGAACTTCTCAGCAAGCTTTTCCGGCGTGTTCAGGCTATGCAGTCTCTTTCTCTTCATGGCTGGCTTAAAGCGGCCCCGCACCTCTTAAGTTTGAAGTAGATTTAGATGATTGCAATCCCGCTTGCGCAAAACTCTACTATAAGTTACATACACTTTGAAATGGGATGAGATTCCTAATCGCTCACTCTTCTGCATGCCTAACTTAGGTGCCCTCCGTTTTCGAGGGTAAGCTTTTTCCACCCTACACATGGCCTTCATGGAGCGTATCACGCACACAAAACGCAAACAACCTGCAAAACGGTGTGCAAGGTTTGCCTTTGCAACAACGATCCGTGTCTGGGCACGGGTCCGTGCTCTTATTTTCTCAAGGGGCGTCGTGATGCTTGGGTTTTCTGGGGTGTCTGGAATAATCTTAAAATACAATTCGAAACGGCAATTTCCCACCGAAATTGCGTTCCTAGGTTCAGGTATACAACAGCATGGAAGATATGATGAACCAACAACCCAAGCTAATGGTTCTTTCTGAGGTCAGGGTTCCTTTCAAGTTGCAGCTATTTCATAGTTTGCAAGGCGCGCCCCGCATGCTAAAACGATGGCGCCTGATTCCTGATTTGGGAATTTCCCTAAACCCTAAACCCTAAACCCTAAAACCTAAACCCTAGGCCCTGAATACTAAACCCTAAGCCCCCAAACCTAAACCCTAAACCTTTAAGCACTAAACCCTGAACCCTAAGCCCTAAGCCTCTTCCTCAGGCGCCATTTTGGAGGGGGTTCTACAGGGTTAGGGTTCCGAGGTTTAGGGTTTAGAGTATAGGGTCATTACCCCAATAATGGAGAATCAAATGGACAGGAAAATGGAACATGAAATGGCAACTGGGCGTATCCGCCGACCTTGGGGGGCGTGTTGGATGGTTGCCGAAGGCGGAGAGGATGAAAACCCTCTTCCTTTCTCCCTTACAGCCCCAAAACGCGGGGGGGGGGGTCCAAGCCCCTGGTGGGCCGGGCCCCCCTGGGGGCCCGGGCCCCAAGCCCCCTGGAGACCTGGCCCACAGGCCCCTGGGGCCTGGATCCCGCCACTCTCACTGACTTCCTGCAAGCCAAGTTTTTAACTTCTTGTTGCGTCTCAAAATCAT